CCACCAATCAGAAACGATCACGAGAAATCACGAATCACTGTGAAAAATTACCGTGATTGGGAATGAACGTGATCGAATCACGAGTGATTCACAAGTAGCAGTTCACATCATCTCTACTATCCAGTCGCTTTCTCCCCTACCTCTGCGATGTGCGAGCGAGAGAGGAATGACTCCATCGATACTTCTGTCCTTCGGTCTTACTTCATTCCTACCATATAATCACGACCGTAATCGTGATTCGGCGATCACTGTGATAAATCACCGTTAGTGATTTTGCACGCTATCTCTACTAGTGTCCAGCATCACTGACTCTCGTCGGTGCCAGCATTCCTTCTCCTCATGCTCTCCAGTAGAGATGGCGTGCAAAATCACTAACGGTGATTTATCACATTTATCAATAGACTGCGCAGTCTATTATGTATGTCTATATATGTCTATGCTAAGCAGTTTAAATGCATATAGAAATGTCAAAACATTGTACACAGTTTCTGTAAAATCTTCTGGAAAGAAAGGACAGTGGTGTAGCTCAGTTAAAATTATTTTACTATAACTGAATGTAAGATTTTAAAATATTATTTATGATGTACATTTAAAATAGGCAACATATTTCATAAAATGACGACGTCAAAAGAACTGAATTTAGCCAGAAAAAGTCTTGTAGCCTCCCTTGGAGAAAATGCAAAAGTGTAAGATATATTTTTATTTCAAACGAAGAGATAAAATTTCGTTAAAAATTAAAGCATATACAAATGAAGGTTTTTATTATAATGAAGGAATTTAACTTTGTATATTTCAAATTTTTTTAATTACTTGCTTATTCTATAATGATTTACAATTTTACCATTATTTAAAATGTTATCATTTTATTTTTTATAAAACAGCTTTCATTTTACAAATGTATTCTTTTCCTTTTAATAGGTACTTTGAAAAAATGAAACTCTGGTTCCAAATGAAGGTAATATAATGTTATCTTATACTGTTGTACAACCTCTAATTGTTGTTTTGTAAAATGCTGCTGTTTCAGACAACAAAAGAAGAATTTGATTGTGAAGCAAGAAATATTATGACAGAAGACCAAGTTCATCTGCACAATGAATTTCTATTATGCTTGTTTAACAAAGTGAGAGGCTTAGCTGCAGCTACACCTAATCGCAAAATAGACAGAGATAAGGCTATAAAAGAAAAAAGGCTGCGACTGAAACGGAAATATAAAACTGATAAATCAAATTTCGAGGTTGGTCCACTATAATCTACTAATTCATTTCTCATTTAACTGTAATAATTTTATTGTTACCCTTCTTTTTTTTCTATACATATATACAATGTATACATATACTCCATATTTAGCCTGCAGATATGTATGTGGAAGTATTGAGTCAAACATCATCACCTGTTGGAGACGAGCCCATTGGAGCAAATCGATCTAGTGCACAAGAGCTCGTGTTACCGGATAGAACATTTGTATTAGCAAGATTAATGCTCGCTGCCTGGGAAAATAATATGGACGGAGCAGAAGAGAATACTGCGCATATAGTTATAGCCGCGACACAGATTTTTCTGAAAAATATACTCACAGCAATATTTACTAGGAGAAAGGGATATGCAGTACGAGATGGTTCATTCATTTATTGTATTGGAGAACCAGTACCTAGTTCATGGAAAAGAAATTCCACACGCATATTACAATCGTCAGATAACTGTGCAACAGAAATAATAGATTCATATGGTCAAGTACCTTCAATAAAACCAAATTTTGAAGAAGCTGAACAAGCTACAGCTTTTGCTTACGCATGTTCTCCACAGACTATTCCACCCCCATTAAAACCTGTCAGCACAGTTGATTTACAACATACACTGAAGGTAGGAAAAGATACTTTACTAGATATATTTAAATAGTGTCTCTTACTTTATACTTTTAATATTTTTCGTTTGTTAAATAGATGTACAAAAATCTAGTTAGCAACCACACAATATACGCGACTAATATGGAACGCTTATATACATATACCACACATCCAACATGGGAAGATTTTGAAGCCAAAAAATTGTGCCATCAATCCAAGACATAGATCTTGATGTAGCTAAATGAATTACTCCGTACCATGTATAATTTAAATATAAGGGTGTATATGCAAATGTTACATGTATTATTTATGTTTTTTACAAGATGTACTTTACTAATAAAATTAACTTATAAAAACTTGAGATAAACTTTTTTATAAAAGCGTAATTTTCGTTTTTCTCTTTACTGAGAGAGCTATATTTATTCACAATTATTTACATTAAAATGTATTATGTTACACCTTATATTATGCATTATATTATGCTTTTGTATAAAAGTTTAATATTTATGATTAGGAGAAGTCTTATTACATAAGAATGTATTAATTTGTTACTTTTTGTAATCTGCACCTTTATGACGGACATTAAATCTTCTAAAGAATATGAAAAATATTTTGTTTCATATTGAAATCATTATACTTCTTATTTACATTCTTATCTGAAATTTCCCAGCTTTGGTAATATATTTAACACCTTTAAAAGGTTTATACTTTTCTCCATACATATCCAATCGATTGACTTTTAAACCAGACACTGCTAATTGATTGATTGTAAAATGTACCTAAAACAAAATGTACAATATTCAATGTTATGCATCATAATTTATAATGCTATAAAAGATATATACATACATTAATTGCAGGATTAGACTCTATTACACTAGCAGAGTTTTGAATGGCAATCTGAAAAAATTTCAAAATTTGTACACCTGTTTTTTAAATATCTGCTTAATCGTGTAACTTTTTATTAAAATTCGTATACCGAGCCTCTTAAGTTTGGTAATTTTGAAACATCTATTCTTCCAATATCCCAGAGCAGTATTTTGCTAACAGGATCAAATGAGTATTTTCCTTGATTTGGAGTCAGAGTACAATTTAACACTATTTTTGGCATAGGAATTTCTAATGTCACATTTTCCACCTAGAATTTATACAGCATTTTAATATTTTATTGCCACATAAAATCGTAAAATAGGTACATACAGTTCTGCCAATAGTTTGCTTTGGTCCGACAGTTATATCTAGTCTACCACCTCCTGGTTCTTTAAGACTAATATTGTGTCTCACATATATTGGAATTGCTACAATACTTTGTGACCCTATATGATAAGAGAGAAGTCGAAAATTACCATCTGGTGGAATAAAAGAAAGTATTCTTTCTGACTGTAAAAAAAGTACACATTTTATTAATAATTAAAATAGTAAGTTTACTTCAGCCTTTTTTTACTCTTACCTCCCATCTTTTAAATCTAACACAAGGGTGAAAACTGACATCATCAAATAATCTGGGATTCATAAAAGAGAGTGTTAAGTCTGGCATACCACTTAATTTTATACAACAATCGATCTGTAATTAGAGTCCTATATTACACATACTATTTGTATTATTACGACAAAATCAATTTTACAAGTGACGCACGTAGCCTTGAATTTCTGCAAATACGGTTGCTCCGGTTCTGTCAATAATAGCATCAACTTCTTCTACAACGTCGAAGTATGCTTCATTATTTGTATATTTAACCCCTGTACGTCTCCAAGGAACATTAGATAGCTGTCCACTTGGTAATATTGCACTAACACTGTAATTCAGAAATATAATTAATATTAAATAGAACTATACCCAATATCGTATCTATCTATCACTAAACAATTAAAGTAATTACTTAGATTTTCCTGTAACAGTATTTGCAATAGTTCTTAAAATATTTGGTGGTTTAATAAGTTCCTTTAGGATATTAGATTCTGTAGCTAATGGGAACCCATTGTCCAACATTTCATCCAACAATTCATACACAACTACATAATTTTCTTTTATAATAGTCTCTGTACATTCGCTAAAGTAATCTTCAAATGTATCCACTACTCTGTGTAGAAATTCTATCACAAACAGTGGTGGAACTGTAATATTAAAAAATATGTAAAATAGATCCAACAATTGGAATGAAATGTGAAAAATTTAATAGATACCTTCTGTCATGCATACTGCAACAAAGAACATATTACAACGATATATACTAATCAGATAATGATGAGGTGTAGCTATCACAGGTGGTGTATCTTCAGGAGACAAAACTCTTCGCTGTTGATCGAAAAAATAATCACACAATGATCTTGCAACAGCACTTTTCCAATGCTTTTCCATGAATACATCCCTAAATACAAAATAAAATAGTTTCATTTTACAAAATCATAAATACTTTATTGTCATTAAGTATTTAAAAGTTGCAACAAGGAATTAGTATGATTTGTACAATTAAAATAACTGTTAACAAGTACATACTCCTTCAGAACTTTTATCTATTGAGTGAAAAATTACTGTTAAAATGGAACTTTTCTAAGAAAGATAGAGTATTAATATAAGAAATTACACAAAACTGAGAGGAAATAATTTAAAAAGTTAATAGTACACAAATAACTTGTTCTTGTAAATGTTAACAGTTTCATCCAGTCCTTGATTTCTAACCAAATGCCTGTCAAGTAGCATATTTCCATTTTTTCTTATAATCTGTTACTTACCCTGAGGAGTTTATAATAAACAGGCTGTGAATCATTTTTTAAAACTGATATTTGGCAGAAAAATCTGATCAAAATTATATGTTAATTTAATTTTACTTCAATGCTGCACATTTGCTTGACACATATATACTCGTGTGTACAAATTGTACAGCTCAGTACAGCTGCTGATTACGATAAGTTCTCCGCGCGTACTGTGTATATATATAACATGTGACATGCATAAAATTACGATGCTCTCAATAAAGCTCTTTTAGTGCAAATAAATGTAATTTAATTCTTGTCTTGTACTATAAAGAAATTAATAAAGCAATAAAGAAAACACGTATTGTATATTGTTACGAATTAAATGGCTCAATTGCCAACCGATACGATTTTGTGACGTGTCATTAGATACCTATTCATGTGCACTCTGACTTTTTTCTACTAAATAAATAGTAAATAACCTGATAATGGAGGAAATTACCAGCTGGGAAGGAATAGAAGATGACGGTAATTTTTTAAAAATTATTTTTTAAATTGCATAATAATGGTCCTTTCAAATACATATTTTACAGAATTCTTCAAACAATTTTTTGGTGGTGAATGCAAAAAAACTGATATCAATCAAGTGTTATCAGTAGCACAACAAATAAATAAATTGGGGCAAGGTAAATAATCAAATTAATACACTGAATGCGTAAGATTAATATACTATGAATTTTATTCATTTTAGCTATTGACATCTTAAATGCAGAACTCCAGAAGCAAGTGCTAGCAAATCATGAAGATTTATTATCACAAGCTACTTGGGTTGAAAAATTAGAAGGTGTACTTTCAATAATGCAGTCTCACGTTCAGGTTCATTGAAATTGAATTACTAAAAAAAATTATGCTTAACATATGGTTCTAAAACAATATATTCATATTTTAGAGTCTTTTATCAGCTGTGGAACGTTTACGTGGAAAGATTATTGATCCATTCCATAGAATTGAAACCCAAACTGTTGTTTTAGCACGACTACATGAAACTTCTGATTTGTTACGAAGAGTAGCCAGAATGCAACATTTATCAAAACGTTTATATTCTCAAATGACAAATAATGTACAGGGTCCTGATATCATAAAAGCTGCTAATAGTCTTCATGAGCTTGGTATGTTATCTTGTTACTTTAAAGCAGGGGTATCAAACTAGTGGCCCGCCGGTCGCATTCGGCCTAAGACTTATACTTTTGTGGCCTGCAATGACTTATATTTTGTACAACTTGAAAATATTGTCAAAATGTAAGCAATTTTAAATATCTTTGTATATAATACACAGCGGGATCTCTACTATGATTGTACGGCTAAACTGTGAAATTTAAAAATTTAAATAACTAAATAATATAAATACATATTGTGCGGCCCACATGAATTCTACTTGTGCGACAAATGGCCTGTGATTGAAATGAGTTTGACACCCCTGCTTTAATGTATATTATAGTCTACAATACATTGTGAAATATAACACGAGCAATTGTGGCTTATAGAACAGTTAATGATGGACACAGATTTAAATGGTTTAGATGTAATTGCTGATGATCAGCAAGCTGTAAAAGCTCATAGAACAACAGTGCAAAGAATAGCAACTCATACTTTGGCTCAAGGTTTATGTACAATGGACAGAATAAAGGTATATAAATGCACATTAGTTTTTAAAGTATCACAACTATTTGAGAAGCTAATTGGAAGCAAATAATGAACAGGTTAGTACTGCAGTGCAGGTGTTCCAAAATTTAGGGATTGTAAAGGGAGCTGTAGATAATGTTATGGATTCTGCTTTATTGGAAATTGAAAAAATCGCTACAGAATCCTTGGACGTGACTTTAACAACAAATCAAGACATTGGAAAGAGAGGAGCACCTGGACGAGCAGCTATTCCCTCTCCAGGATCTTCGGGAAATTTACGCACACGAATTTGGGAAAATCTTGAAAGACTATTTCAAGATACTCTTTATACACAGTGTTTACAAGTAATCGGAACTTCATTAAATTTCTAATAAAAAAATGTATTTTTAAATATCAATTATATTTTTTATTTCAGATCGAATTATTACAAAGAATATTATTAGAATATCATGCAAAAGAATTGGATGAACTATCACAAAAATTTTGGAATAAAGTAAATGATTTACTTTCGAAAGTATTAGTTGAACGTGCTCAAGGTAAGTATCAATTTTAATTATGCTGTTTGAAACATTAAACATGATCTTTTTACATTTACAGGTTCCTCATTTGTCAAACAAGCATTAGAGGGCGAATATCCAAAGTTTTTAAGAATCTTTTTAGACTTGAGTAAACGACTAAAAGAAAGATCACAAAATATTGGCATTTATAATATTAAGTAAGCTCGAAGATGTTTAATGTTAGTTACGTTATTTTTTCGTACAAAATAATTTATTGTTTTCTTTAGTCATAATGTATTGTCTCCATTTGAGAATGCATATTTATCACGTTCCGTATCACGCTTATTGGATCCAGTACACACTATGTTTTCTGGGGAAGGATTACCTACTCAAGATGAAATCGATAGTCTCATCCGTACAGTAACAAAGTAAAATAAAACATAGATATTACATATTTTTTTAGGTTTATATATTAAAGATATGTTACGTATTAATTTGTTTTTAGTGAACTGAGTGTATCATTAGTGGATGATGGCCTTTCAACAGTAGTTGCCCGTAATGTAGGCAAAGCTATAAGACTTTTCTGTTTAAAATGCGAACAGGGATTACTTATGGGAGGCGAAGCTAGTCAAGTAATTGATTCGCCTACCACTGTACAGCAGACTAATGTGTCGCTTGCAAATCTACTTTATTATCTTTCCAGTCAAATAAGTCGCGTAGTAGTAAATTTGTCTGCTGGCTTGCCATCTGATGGAAGCACAGTAATTTCTGTAGCTCTGAAGGAAACAGATACATTAACAAAAAACATATTATCACCATTGTTAGCTTCCATTAGCGATGCTATTGAAAGTATTATTTTAACTATGCATGACGATCCAGAGTTTCGGGAGTAAGTGGACATAACTTACATATTTTCATTTACATATTTTCATGTTGAATTTAAACATGCACATAGTATGTAAATATTAATATAATATTTTTCCTTTTTTACAGCCCAAGCAGTCCCTTGGGAAAAGAAATTAACTGCTCTCTGTACATGCGCGAATTGCAAGGGTTTATTTTACGTTCTGTGAATACGTTCCTTGTACCATACAAAAATCAAACTGTTGTTGTTGAATGGTAAATAAATTACAGTTATATTGTTTCATATTATACTTATAACAAAACATTGATACTAATTGCTTGCTATTTAAGCTGTAAGACAGTTGCTTCACGATGCATCGAACTATTTGTAAGACACGCTTGCTTACTACGACCTTTAACAGATTTCGGGAAAGCGAAACTCATTGTTGACTTTAGTCAGGTATGTTATTGTAATATGCTATATGGAAGAAAACTTCAATATTAAATATATTTCTGTTTAGATGGAAGTAGCTGTTGCACCATTGTGCAGAGGGGGACAATTGGGTTCATCGGAACAACAGCAATATAGAACACTGCGAGCATTAAAAGCGTTACTTCCACTCAGTCCTGAAGAAACTGTTCAAAAAGTATTAGATGGAGCAGGAGAAAGTGGTGTACCTCGTTCCCTTGTTCTTCTGCATTTATTTTCCACAGCACCCCCTGAATTAGTATCTCCGCATCAGGTAAGATGATATAAACATCAGTTATGAAATACTTTTAACTAAATTATTTTATAAGTTTTATGACAAGTTTTTTTATAATATGAAGCCTCGTGCGGAATAAATTCATTTTTTTCTGGCTTAAAAAACCACCTTTTTTTCCATAATACGACTGTTTGTAAAACATTTTGAATTGTATTGTATATGATTAGATGAATATTGTTTTATTGTTCTAGAGTGCTAGTTGGTCTGTGGGACGATTATCCCAGTGGATGGATAAACATCCGAATGAAAGAGACAGATTATCATTTTGTAGTGGACCATTAGAACGTTATCAATTAACTGTCAGACAACATAATCTTCCATCGTTTCATCCCTTGTTTCCATTAATGAAAAAGTTGGCTAATTTGGATGATCACTAATCGTTGTAAACTTTGTAAACGTAATATGTATTTTATCAAATTTTTTTCCACATTTATAAGGAATAATACTATTAAATTCTGTATAGTAATTTATTAATATAATCTGCAAGAATAAATTTTGAAAAGAGCGACGTTAGAAAAGTGATAAGAAATGAAATTACGATTTTCTTAATTATTAATTAATCTCGGCATGTATACTGTCCTAAATAAGTACATTCCAGTGATTGTCATAATACTTAAGAGTAGTAGCCATTTTGAATCACATTTCTTTGGACCTATATATGTAGCTGGTATACCAATATCATTTTCCTTCTTTACCTACATTAGAAGAAGTTTTTTCGAATTGTTCAAATTTAATATATAACATTTATTTCTTATGCACTGCATTATGACTTACCTTTTTAGAAAGTTCATATACTTGTAGAAGTTCCTTTTTAAGAATACCGAGAGTAGTTTGTGTTTTTTTCAGTTCTTCCTTATAATTAGATATTTGTTCTGAAGATAAGTGTATATTCTCGTTATTCGCTTTCAATAAATTATTTTTAATGTATTGAAAACTAGAACCTATAATTGCAATCTGTTTGGATACAGTACCTAAAGAAACTACGCCGTTATATATTCTAGAAAATAAGTACAACATTAAACTTTCATGAAACAATTTTACAGAATCACAAGATTATAAAATAAACATACGTATATGATAAGGTTTTATCGATAGCACCAATACTTTGTCTACTCCATCTTTTTCTATGAAATTTATGGAGATGTTCCATAAACTGTATCCTATGTGCCTTAATTTCAACACCTAAATTATATAGGTCATTTTCAGTTAATTTTAGAAAATTCTTAAGGCTCATCCCTTTGAAGTTATGAGTATATTTCTCTAAACCCATCCCATGTAAAATTGTGAAAACATCAAAATCTATAGTCTGATCATTTATACTATTTAACGATGAAAACATATCCATCCAATCACATATTTTAGATGTTTTACTAATAGTTACTATTTCTTCTTCATTAAAGTTTAATAAAGGCAGTATCTATAATAGTCACATAAACATTATTTTATATTTTATATTAATACATAACTTTTAATACTACTTACTTTGTCAAATCCTTTCATTAAAGCTATATCCTTAGCAGTTAAATTACTGTTATCAGTTAATGTGGTATCAGCTCCTTTTTCTATTAATATTTTTACTATATCTAGTTTGTTTGCTATAGTTGCGTATATTAATGCCTATAATGAATGAAATGTGTCATTTCTGATGAGTTACTATTACATTGGTATTATTAATAAAAGACTTACAGTTTGGTTTCTACTATCATAAGCATTAATGTTTTTCACATATTTTAATAATTCCATTACAAATTCTGGTTCTTGTGATGTACAGGCGTACATCAAAGGTGTTTGTCTATAGAATATCCATGTAATAATTTTTAGATTATAAAACATACAGATGTAACAAATATAAGTATACATTACACATAGTTACCTTTGTTTACTAGTGGCATTTACGTTAGCTTTCTCTTTTATAAGTAATGTTAAACACTGCATTCGATCTTCTATTGTGCCTCTAGTAGTGCTGCATAAAGCCATTAATGGAGTATATCCATCTAAAAAAATTATTCATTTTCAATATCCAAATAGCATGAATGTCTATCAAGCATAAAATATAAAAAGGATATAATACCTTTATGCTTATTGACATCAGCTCCATTTTTTATAAGATACTCAATGACTTCTGCTTGAGAACACGATGCAGTATATAATAGTGGAGTCCATCCATTGCATAAAAAGTCATTTACATCATGTGCTATGTGTGATTATACAAAATTATTGTATTAAGTACACAATATTCTTATTTATAATTAAAAATTACTAGTATTGTAATTGATAATGAAAAATAATTACATTGAAGGTATTCCTTAATACTTTCTAAACAGCCAGATATGCATGCATTACTCATATGAAATTCAAAAATACGTTCCTCATCTATATCTACATATTTGTACTGATCAAATGCATCTATACTCTCCGACACTGATTGTGAGTATTTCTGCAAATAACAACTAAATAAATATTTATACATACATACAGTACATATATATTTATATACTTTTGTTCTTATATTCTGGGTAGAAACTCTATTATGTGTAAGAATTATTATTAACAAATAAACAATCATGTTAAACTTATTTAATCATAATAAACATTTTTGATGAAATTTATTAATATCATTAATATTATACATAATTGGTTATAAAAATGTCGATAGATTATTGTAGGTTAGTAAAAATATATTAACACCTCTATTGGAAAAGAAAAGTTCTCATCATCTTTCAATTTTTGATCAGATATTTTCGTAACCCCTGTATACGTATTATACATTTTATTAATGAATGAATATGTAAAAAATATACTTTCTTTGACACACGAAATTTGAAAAGGCTTTAATGTTTCTGCGCATGCGTTTTAGCATATGTACATTACATATAAAAAAAATAAACGCTGTTTGTAAATTTCAGCCATTATCATTTGTCAATGATTCATACTATATATATGATAACTACAATTAATAATTCAAGGAGTACATAATAGTAGAAGAATACATTCAATCAAATACTCCACATTCAATTTAAAAACGTATTTGTGTTTACTTTTTTGTAAAAAAATTAACTTCGAGCTCATTAATAAAATATCATTTGATACATTGATTTAATTCAGGTAAAATTATATGCCCCTGATAACCAGTTGTATACAAAGTTCGAGCAAATTGCTAACAATAAATAACAAAAGTTGTCTAAAAAAACCATAACTATCTTTTTCAGCATTTGACTTGGGTTTTGCAGGCAACGCCAGCTGACAAAATGGTAAAGCAAATTGGCAGAAAGTCTTGCAACATGACCTATGTCAAATTGAGGGCAAAACCAGAACAAGGTTTGCGCAAGCCAATTTGCTGCATATGTTGCTGTTAATTTGCTGCCTATAATGCTGCCAATACGCGCACAAGTTGTTTATAGCAAATCTTGCATTAAACTTATAGCCATAACTTTATAACAGGCATTGGACAAAATTTGGCTTTGCGGGTTTGGCTGGCTGAGTATATTTATTTATTCGCATAATGTTCTTTACTGTATGTACACTATCAGCTAACCATTTTTTCTGGTATTATTTAAAATAATGGAAATAAGTATATTTGGTGATCATATCGTATGAGCTATGAGAGATTCTGTATATGGAAGAAGCATGTACACGGCGTATACATATATATATGCACACTATTTATTGATATCTGCAGTGCTTAACCTATAAGAAACAGTCGCCTGACACCTGTCTACGAGCTCGGTTGTAATTTTATCTTCCACATTTGATAGAGTGTACATTAAAGTTTAATGCATATTTAGATTCTTAATTAACAGTAAGTAACATCAGTAATTTTATATATGCATTCATGTAATTCTCATAATTAAAATTATATATATTTATTTATATAAATTTGTATCTTAAATATTAATCCTGTATATTATATAATCCTGTATACTCTCAATGATAAAATTGCCCATTTCACCTTTCGCAAGTATTAAAAATAGTTAAACAAAATATATACTGACAGAAATGGTAGCGAATATACAAATTGACAGGGCTGTACACACTATCGGTGCCCTCGAGTCATCCATAAAAAAGGAGACAAAGTATCCATGAATTATATCAAATATTTCTTGCGGGTATATTCTATTTGAATAATTCAAATTGAAACAGCTTTTGTTAATAACGTATTTGCGTTTTAATAGATGCATCGGTCCGTGCTGGTCGCATTCGACTTCGATCATACGATCAGCAATGACAATACCGATGTCGTCGCTCGAAAGCTGTTACCCCAGGAAAAATTAACGGACAGTGTGAAAGAATTATGTCGTACTAGCGGTTGGATCCCGTACATGGCGAAGATATTCGAATTGTTGCACAGCTGTTCCATCGATAGTAAACAAATTGAAAAAGCAATAATTAATATACCACCGGTACCCGGCGTGGAAAAACTTCTGAGAGAATTACACGTCCGAGGTTGTGAGATCATTATTATTAGCGATTCAAATACATTATTCATCGGACAGTGGTTAAAAAACAGAAAGCTAGATCACCTGGTTGCACAGGTGTTCACAAATCCCGCGAAATTTGATGAAAACGGCGTGTTAAGAATAGATATGTACCACGTGCAAGACTCGTGTAAACTGAGCACCGTTAATTTATGCAAGGGACAAATCTTAGAGAGTTATATTAAAAAACGAAGAAACGAAGGTGTACATTTCGATCGAGTGGTATATGTCGGAGACGGGAAAAACGATTTGTGTCCAATTTTACGACTTTCTGAACGTGACTTGGCATTTCCGCGGCAAGATTATATACTTGTCAAAATATTGAATAGTACGGAAAAAATGGATATTCCGAAAGTAAAGTCCCGCGTATTTCCTTGGAGCGACGGTATGCAAATCTTGAAGAAATTAGAGGAAGAAATTAATTTATTTCATAACTCCCTGTAATTTTAAATAATCGTGTAAGAGTATACAAAATCTGTAATATTTTATTCAATATATATCATATTTACTACTGAAATCACTTAATTAATATTGTATAAAGTTAAATAATTTTAATTATTTTCAGCGAATCTAACAATATTCTTATATTTTAGGATATATTTGATTGTAAATAATAGTCATTTACCCAGATATGTTCAGTTACTTATAAGTTATATATTTATTAAGAGAGTACAATATTAATGATATCCATAAACAATTAACATATAATGTTTGTCCAGAAACATGCTCAAAACTGTAATGCTCTAGAATTTTTTGAATTATCGATTTAAAATCTTCAGAATATATTAAAAAACTTGAAATTATACGAATGTGTAAAAATCAAAAAACCGATTTTTTATCTTTCTATATATGTATATATAACTAACTCTTTAAATGTTATATAAATATGCGAAAAAATATACAGTTAGAAATATTAGTTTCAAAGATTAAATTTATAAGTAACAATAAAGTAAATTAAAGAATTTTTATTTCGTCAATATTCTACTACCTATTACGTAATATCAAAATTACATTCTAGAAGATTTTATAGAATATGATTTTGAATTATAAGATGCGCGCGCACTATTGGGGTTAGGTTAAACTTATGACGTGCGCGATACATACGATATAGTTGCGCGTCTCTGTCGTTAATTATTGTCTTATTATTACTTTCGGGCGTCGGCGAAAAATTTTCTTTTGTCGTGAACACATCTCGTTATAAAACAAGAAAATATGAATTGACACTTGGTCGTGATCTCGTACAGATTACCATTGTTCACAATCCAAAAGTAACAGTACATGAACTACAATTCTCCGTATCAGCTTTGGTAAGTAAATTTTTATTTTTATTAAATTTTCGATTATATTTGCGATTACAAAATAATAACGAGTCATAATATTGTTAAGATATAACCACTTATTTCTAATTGTTACAATGTTGTTATAGTAGATATAATTTTTGAAGTTAATTTTCAATTGCATAATAACAATGGATTGAGTTCTGGTAATTTTATGATATGGAGATAATGACAATAGACGTCTGTAACGCCATTTACGAAATAAAACTATGAATTTGTGTCAGAATAGAAATCAATTTTTGAGTAAATTACATTTTCAGTTAAAGGGATACATTTCCTTAAACATATCGAAATTACATACTGTTTTAAGAAATAATAGAAACGAACTGTCAAATTTAGAATCATAGCATTTCTTGTAATTAGAACAATGCCCTTTTATGAGTATTTTTCATTAAATAAACATATATTCAATAACACGTAATGAGTTATATGATATGACGACCAAGATTTTACTCTGGTGAACACTTGTATGGTGTACAAAGTTTATGAAAAATGGTTAATTTAAGTAAAAAAATCTAACAGCTTCTTCATTTACAATGATATCACTATGATACAACAGATGTTTTTGTTTAAAATATTGAAAAAATGTTCATTTTAAATATGTGTGAATCTAAAAATCTAATTCTTTCTAATAACCATTGTATTTATGTTTCATTTTTAAAAAAATGTGAAATATTTTTAAAAAATTCCACTTTAAATAGATTATAAACACTATTATTTTACCAATTTATTCCTGACTTTAAGCAAATTACTCGTATATTTTCTTAGTATTATGCATATCAATTTGAAGAATATATTTTCAAGAAAAATCGACTTTCAAGCTTCATTTATACTTTGTACATCAATGAATCAAATATCTTTGTACATCAATAAAATATAAAAAATTTTATTGAATTAGAAAAAAGAAATTCAAAGATTTACAAAGTTTAAGATCATATATTCATTTATTGGAACAAGTGATACATAAACTTCCATGTATGATTTAATTCACAGGATGAACACTGTTTGTTTTTGTAAAATATGTGCCAATATCTTGTAATTTTATCATTTTTAGATTGAACATATTTCGTAAAATTCCAAATGCAACTGCAACTAAATATGTGCCACTTAATAACCATTTGGGTACATGTAACTGTACGAATATTTTAAATAATACTTCAAAAAATATTGGTGTCCATAATATTGTTCCACATAATGAAGACATTTTGATGATACCAAACAGTTTTAAAGTGTTTTCCATTTGTACAATCATATTTAATTCCATTCTTTTCTTGTCATGTTCAATTTCAAGTTGTTCTTTCTTGTTTCCATTGAGATTTTCATTAAATATTTCTATTTGTTCTAATGTACTAACACTTTTTTTTACTTCTGCATTTTCTTGTGAGCATGTAGGATCTTGTGTTAGTATAGAAATTTCTTTGGAATCGATGGGACTATTAAAATTCGTATTATCAATATCATTTGCAGAGCCGACATTGAAATTATTTGGTAACATTTCATGTTTTGCTTTCAGTTTGTCCAAAATAAGTTGACAATTTAGTTTACCATGCTGATGTAAGATTGAACAGAATAAAATTGGTAAAAAGTATACTACAAATAAAAACACAATTAAATGTAGTTTTAAAAACTTAATTGGTATTAAACATGTATCCATCATATACATGGATGTTGTATTTGATACATTATTATTTTGATCTGTAATCATTTGAATAACTGAATGTACATTTGGCCTGTTCATTATAAAGTTATGTTTTAGGTTTTCTTCTAATTTCCTCTGCTGTTTTCTGTCATGTTGCTGATCATGTTTAAAACTATTCTTCACAGTATGATGTATTGTATTATGACTACGTTTAAGTATTTCAGCATATATTTGATCATTGGAAACATTTGACACATTACGCTTTGTTGTTGTGTCTGTCAGTTTTTCAGAAATCCCAAATTTTTCTGTTTGAAATATATCGGATTGCAATATCTCAGCGGTACTTATAAAAATTTCATTATTTGCATTATCATCTTTAGCTGTTATATTTTTCGAAAAATTTGTCATTAAATGATTAAATAATAGTGCTTCTTTATTATATTCATTTGAATTATTTTCTGATTGTATATCGTGTAATGAAATTTTATTGTCAGGACTTGTTAAGTTATAAGCATTTTCATATTCTGTTATTTCTACTGAACTTCCTTTGCTACTTGCATTGTCAGTGTTATATTTCAAAATCTGTGTGTGCATATCCAAATACTTCATCATGTTCAACTGATCGGAGGTATTATAAGGCCTTGCATGGTTAATATTATACGAGGTATTATGTGTCTGTAATGCAGAATGTACAATATTTTGAACTTTAAATATTATTTCATTTACTTGTGTATTATTCTCATTAGGTATATGCAGTGGTTCTGTATTATTAATGTAATCTTGGTGTAAAGGTATTGCATATAAACTAGAATAATTTTGTATAGTATTTATAACTTTTATATTGTTCTGACAATCGTCAAAGAGAAGATTGTTTCCAGTAAAACATTCCATATTTTTTAGATCCTTAATGTAATTTCTATTATCATATTCACTTAAAAACAGAAGTCCCGTGACAAGAATTGGTATAATCCACTGGCTAATTACAAATACTGTGACAGTCATTTTATTATCTTTCTTTATTTCATTGTATTTAAATACTCTTAAAAACCTTCTTTTAAAACGTTCAATTAATTTGCACTTTAAATCAAATTGTATATTCTCACGTTCAATTGTTTCACAGCTTTCTGTGCTTTGCACTTTAGATTTGCTTGTTCTGCTATCTGTTTCATTCATTTTTTCTACAACATATCCTTGAAGTTGAAAGGATTTGAGACATTGGTATTTAAGACTAAATACATTCAAATTGCATTGTGTTGAGAATACTAATAGAGATACAAAAGAATTTGTAAATGGAACAAGAAACATTCCATACTGTATTATTGTGTGCATAATATTACATTCAGAAGACATGCTAAAGTTGTTTCGGTTCACACTATCATTAAACATTTTGTGAAATTTTATAAATCTATCTTTTTGATCTTCTTCGTCCCATTTAATATTACTTAGAAAAATAATATTATCCCAGTTTGTTTTGTCCACTGCCATGTAATTTATAAGTATGATACTTGCTGTGAGTATAGAAAATAACACATCAGACATTGACAAAATGTATAATGATGTATTCATCCACTGTGTAAATTGTTTTCTTAACAATGTCACAATTGTAATAAAACTGGATAATAGTAATGTATACGCTGCCACACTGAGTACTAGTGAGTACATAATGTAACACTGAAATATTCAACTTATTCAAACTTTTCGTTTTTACTTTATATATTATAATCATAAAACTGGGGGATTACTTGTACAAAGAGTTCAGTACTAGCTTCTATGCTTTATGGAGTTTAAAAAGATACTGGTTGGAAGAAACTAATGCACATTATACCCTGATAGATTTCGTTATGCATGGGGGTATCTAAATAACTGTTGCACATATTAGAGATATGAAAGTATTGGAGTATGAGGGTACACTGATTATTTATCTATGCCATTACAAATGCTGGTATCGGTTGTACATGTAGAATTTAAGATACGTTTAAAGTTTTAGCAGTTAAAATAAAATAAGTTTAGACCTTAAAGTTTCCTTTCTTCAATTTAAAATTTTTAACTTCTAAGTTAATCACACACATGAGGTAGAATTTACTTAATGTGCTGAATTTCTTTTTTACAAACTTAGAAATTGTTCTTAGACACTTTATGATTTTGTTTACTTTTTTAATGAAATAATAACATGTAAAGCTCACTTTTTTAGTTTAAAAGGAAAATATAAGTATAAAGATATTAAAAGTCCGTCTACACTTACAGACATTGTCTGCAGATATCTGTCCTTGTATTTTCGGGCAATTTTTACCCCACCACGTATTTTTCCGGGTTAAGAAGATTTTAGTGACTTTGATAATTCAAAGAAAAGGTGGTTTTTAGGATAAGAAAATGAATAATCTGTATAAGAATTACACAAAAATCTTAAACATAAATTTAGTATTAATTCCTTTTTTTTTTTAGTGCCTATTTACCACAATGTCTGTACGTCGGAGAACTGATCCATTTATGACACAACGAATATGGGATGCCATAAAGATAACTGTTCATCAAAGAAGTTTACCTAGTAACGATCGTATGGTACGACACCTTGCTCGAGTGTATGGAATTACAGAACAAGAAGCACAGGAAGAATTAAATAAAGCAGTCGATGATGGACTTGTTTATTTAAAGAAAGTACCAACAAAAAGTGGTGTAGACCAAGAAAGTTATAGACTACCAGCAGATATTGTACCTACCGACAATCACGATTGGTATTGCTGCAAGTGTCAAAAAGGAGGAACAGTGGAATGCTGTCAACAGTGTTACAGGGTTTATCATTCTGAATGCCATGTGCCTAGTAATGTTAAATTAAAAATGTGTCATTTTTGCGAAGTAAGTATATAGTATTTTGAATTAACCGTCCAAAATTTATATGCCAATAAAGTAGAAATAACTATTGCAGAGTATAAATAATGACACATATCCAGATACAATTGATCTCAACCATATTTTGAGTTTTACATGTGGACATTTGAAAGCAAAACTTCCACCGGAAATTACAAATCGTACAATTGTTTTCAACAATGATCCAATCACGCCGGTTAATAGATATTCAGGCCCAACTTGGATCAGTGAAGGTGAAGATGCATGGCGACCAGGTGTTCTCATAAAACACCATATGGACTTGGCGATAATGGACTCAAAAATAAAGAAAAAAGAATACAATAATCTCACAGAATTCCAAGCTGATGCACATAATATTTTGCACAATATTATTGTGTATCACGGAGGTATGTAATCATAAGACAATATTTTTTGTGTAAAGCAAGTAGTAAAGTAACAGGTTTAATCTGTACATTTAGCGCACAGCATTATCGGAGAAATGGGTAACACAATGTACCAAGATTGCTGCTATGATCTTCAAGAAATACGTCGTTGTGCCGACTGTTACAGAATATCAAACGAAAAATCAGAAAAAATGTGGTTTTGCTTACCCTGTAATCCGCCGCACCAACTGGTTTACGCAAAGCAAAAGGGATACCCATACTGGCCGGCTAAAGTAATGCAAGTGAATGACAACGTTTATGATGTCCGGTTTTTCGGTGGTCATCACATGCGTGCCAACATCGAGAAAGTGTTCATTCGTCCGATTACCGCAAGTCTACAAAGCTTACAGGTAAAGGTAAATTATCAAAATTGCCCGGCGTTCCACGCGAAATTGTCACGCGAACATTGTGAAATTCTCGGTTTAGGTTACACACCATTTACAGTGTATCGGTATCACTGACAGAATAGAAGAGAACTATCGAGAGAAAGCAAATTTAGAAATTGTTGTTGCACTTACGTATATTATTATCTTAACAACGAATTCTTGCATAGCCTTCGGAAAAGGGAAAGTGGAAAGAGATGAAGGTATGCACATACAGCAGCCTAAAGTGTACAACTAATGTCTCACCACTGTTTCATTATGCAATCACCAGAGGAATCAGCTTTTCTTAAAACGTGCACAATTTACCTTCCGTAGATCAAAAGGTCCACTGCATAATTAGGCAAGAGCGTCGAGGATTTGGACATCGACGACGATAACGAAGGCCCAAAGCCAACGAAGATCCGCAACATATCATCAGGTTCGAAAGTTACGGCGAACAATTCTAATCCTGCGAAACAACTTTTTAAGGATTTAAGAGTGAAAGTTGAACGTCTCAGCTCGGACGGTCATAGCGAATTGCCGCCAAGTCAAGAGGTAAAAGCAAATGAAGACAAATCTTCAGTAAGTAAAGCTGAAAGCGAAGAAAGACAAGTGCCCTGTTTACCAGTGGCAGAAGATGAGCCTGCTAGAGGAATATCCAGTACCTGTCCTCAGGGTTTGAAGAAAGAAGGTTCACAAGAAGATATGGTTACATCTAGTTGCCAGGAACCAAGATCCAAATGTGTTCTTGTACAAACAGAACAGATACAAACAGAAACAGTACCTGCAAAGGTAAAGATATAACTATCACTATAATGAAGATCAATATTATAGATGTCACATTGTCATATAGTCCCCTTTAAATATTAAAAAGTTGTAAAAATTAACGTCAGTGTCGTTGATTGACTTATTTTTATATAAAAATCTACGTCAAAATTGTGAACTAATATTTTTTATTCGTTCACACAGTGTTAGACAAATTCTAAGCATTACCATCTGTGGAATAAATAGGGAGATTCGTCTTACTTTTGTATTGTAAAACTTAAATTTAATACTTCCAATAAAATAAATTACCAATAATATACATTCAAACTAATGTAATGCTATGTTTGACTATAAATTATTGTGCATTATGTATTTTGTTATTATAATCTTTTATATTTATTATAGATAAAAAGAGAACGCAGAACTTCCGAACAACCCACCACGACAGCACTCGAAAAATTACGTCGCGAATTAGAACTTGAAAAGTGTAAAGAGTTAGAAAAACTACAAGCTGAACATGCTAAAGAATTGCGGCAATTAACAGACAGGCATCAACAGATTATATCGGAGATAAAGAAAAAACAATGGGTAATAATTCTTGAATACTTTTCTTTTGTATATACAGGGTATTCCACACAACTTGTTCACCCTGATTAACTTCTAAAGTATGCATTGTATGAACAAACTTTGTATAGAATCGTTGTATGATTTGAACGGATACATTATATAATTCATATACTTTTTTTTGTATGTGGAGGCGTTTCGGAGATTTGAAGGTCAACTGTGTTTTTTCAAATGGAATGATACATATTTTTTTTATGCCAAAATATCGAAGAGTATTAAATTTTGAGTAACAAAGTACTAACCTTTATTAGCCATAAACCTAATAATTAACAAATAATTTCACTTTGTTTCTTGAAAATGGTCTGTACGTAATATTAAGTTGATTGATGATAACTTCAATACTGAATCACCGACAGAATAGACGATTACGATTTCATACGCAGAATCGATCATGTTAATAAACATTGTCACGTAAACTCCGTGGTCTTACGGAAATCTTTGCTGGTATTAAATCGCCAACTTGATATTACGCACAAACCATTTTCAAAAAACAAAGTGAAATTATTCGTTAATTATTAGGTTTACAACTAATAAAGGTCAGTACTTTTTTACTCAAAATTTAACGCTCTTCGATATTTTTGCATAAAAAAAATATGTAGCATTCCATTTGAAGAAACAAAGTTGACCTTCAAATCTCTGAAACGCCTTCACATACAAAACAAATATATGCATTACATAATGTATCCCTCCAAACCATACAACTTTTCTATAAAAAGTTTTTTCATATAATGCATACTTTAAAAGTTATTCAGGGTGAACAAGTTGCGTGGACTACCCTGTATATATGAATCATTTGAAAAGTTCTCTGAGTGAAGTGGAGTGAAAAGACAACTTACATTGTTTGTAAAATATTTCTATTTTTCAATATAATAACTTTTGGCATTAATGGTCCAACGATATTCCAATTTTTTAGATCAATGTTCTAAATACTCTTGAGAAACGTGCATTCGAATTCGCTTTTAGTCAATTGTTAAGGAGACATGACAAACGACTTAATTTTTATTCAAGTAGCTGTATACAAAATACTATGTAGTATACTGACCTAATACGTTAAAGTTATTCATATAACAAATGAAAATTTTCAATGAACTAAAAATTTCAGAACTACTAATGCCATCTATACATCATTCCGAGAACTTTTCAAATAACTCACGTATATTTTTCAAATTGTTATACGTATATTGTAATAAATGTTATGATTTCAGTGTTACAATTGTGAAGCTGAAGCAATATACCATTGCTGTTGGAATACTGCGTATTGCAGTACTGATTGCCAACAAGTTCATTGGCAGCGCGAACATAAAAGAGTTTGTCGACGTAAGCGTTAATTAACCATGGATGCAATAAATATTCTAATTGAGTAAAGAACCTGTGAAAAGAGTTACAACTATTGTGTTTGTAAAAAGAAGATACTTTGTAGAAGCACATTAATATATTCTTGACACCAATTTGACAAGCTTTTGTAAACGTCCTCCTTAAATGGAAACATTTGTAATATGTATACAAACAAATGTTTAAATATTGTTTTTTTTTTGTAAGTCTTTCATTTTATTAAGGAACACGTTTAACTTTCAATAATTAAACAAAAGAGAAGATCCAATGCAATGTTTGTTGATATAAATCTGTTATACACAAGTAGCATACAAAATCTTTCAATTGTTCATTTTAATAGAAAATAAATTTGTTTTAATCAAAGTAACAACTAATATTGGTTTTATAATATATCATTAAAATATTGTACTTGCATGACATACGTATGTATACATATTCACAACAGTATGAAGTGAAATATAGTACACATAAATTTATTTACCTGTCTCTGTGTTCCATAAATAATCCATGTAGTATGCAAGTATGACATTGAAAGAAATAAATACAGTACATATTTTATATACATTATATAATCATAATTACATAATACAGCAAGATATAAATAGATATATAATTAGCAATGCACAAGATATGAAACCTTATATAATATATTTACTTGTTATAGATTTTAATTTTCATTTATAAAATTAAATTTACCTTAACACATTTTCTTAAAATTATACTCAGTCTTAATCACATATATTCCTATAAATGAAAACATTCAAGATTAAGAAATTCAGGTGAAAATTGTTATATCAGAATAGGGAAAAATATGCAACCTTGCATAACATTTTGCGCATAAGCATACAATTGTGTTTTTCTCATTTCAATACTTTGCATGTCTCTATATTTCTTATCTACAAGTGTATCAATTAATAGTTGTAAATTATATTTCTGTAAATAACATTTAAGTTGCTGAAAACATGCTCTACAAATGATTCTTTTATACTGGTTGTTTATGTAAAAAGTCACACTAATCAAAAATCAATTTAGTAAACAGTGCAAAATTGTTATTTGAAAATTATGTGAACCTAAGTGTTTTGTGTAGTTCTAACTTCATCACCAACTACTGCCATAGCCATTTTACCCTTTTCTGTACTTTCATTGACTTGTATATAACTAGCTGCATCTATATTACTCGATTTCAGTTTTTCCAATAATTGTAATTCTTGGGGTTCTAATTTTTCTCCAAGCTGCTTCAGTGCATTTAAAACCTCTCCACGCTGACGATCACCAGATTCTTTAGTTAATTTTCCAAGTTTCATGTCATAGTAAATTTGGGATAAACATTCCCTAAGTTGTGTTGTTTCTCGTTTACCAAACATTCTTATAACAGCAGGAGTTTTGAATGCTTCACTAATTGCTGCCTGTGTTGCCTATTTATTTATAATTACAAGTTTTGATTAATATACTTCTATGGTATTTACAAGCATTTTGAGGAATTAGACTCATATATTTGTAACATACCAACTGTATGGCACCCAATTCATCAACTAACGTTGTATTACCAGATATCATTCTCTGTAAACTTTCATTAAACTCTTGTAAATCTTCTTTTGTAAGTTGCATAGCTTCTTCGTATGCATCTTCATCCAATGAACTCCTATTACAACAGTAATTTTAATAAATTACATGTATTTTACATATAATGTACATAATAATTTCTGATATACCGGCTTTCTTCTATATCTTCCAATTGTTGCACTAGCCTGTCCAATTGTGTTTCCAAATTCTTTCTTAACTTTTCAGTTTCTAGCTTACCGTGAGAACTCATTTCTAAAGTGGACAGTAGAAATTGTGTAAACTTAAAACAAGAAACGAAATAAAGTGTCAACAATTTTCTGAAATGGAATAACAATGAAAACAAAATTTTACAATACTATTAAAAAAGTGTTAAATAATTTAAAAAAATTTTAAATTGTTTTATACTTTCTAATTACTTTTGTTCTTTATTCATACCTAGCTTAATTTTACGATTATTTTTCTCAAAAATTCGTCGATTGAGTACCTGTAAAACAGAATTTGATAACGTTCATCGCAAAATATTTTATGATACGTCAATTCTTTTTGATTCTACCTTCCGGCATGTTCCGGCAAATGCTACTAAAAACTGCATTCCTGTCTACATCATAATGTTCTATAGAACATTTCAGCGCATGCGTGATCTCTGATTTCTTATTCATGAATTCGTTCGAACTTCTAACTCCTAATGCAACAAAATATTTACAATTTTTAGATCCTCGTAGAATCATGTTACTATTGTTCACATTCAGAGATTTGCTAAAAATCCGTTTTTTTTAAGTTTTGTTTTAAGAAAAAAAAATATGCATATATAAGTATATATATATACCCCAGTCAGCCAGACCTGCTCTAAACATATATTACTAGATTCTGCTGTAGACCTGATGTGCAGATTTGCTGCAAATGTGGTATAGGGTCTACTACACCAGTACGGACAGTAAACTAGCAGCAGCAATATAACAGGCCTGGTGTCATGAAGTGACGTCAGGAATTGAAGAGAGCTGTTAATATTCTGACGGCAGCTTCACCTCACAAAGGCAGTAAAACTGCGCAATTTACTTTATACAGATTAAATCGATTACACTTCATCTAAATGCATCTGCAATCGATATTTAAGTACTTAAATAATTATTTAATATTAAATTACAAAATTAAATCTATATGTTAACAAATATTAATAATATGTATATATATATTATTATGTCAACTTTTATTTGTATTGCTATATAGGCGTTTATTATTATATGCAAATAGGATATTATTCTATCGCTTATAAGAAATAAGTATATATATATATGTAAATATTACACTGCTAAATATTTACATTTTGTGTAATAATTATATAGTCATGCATAATGTTCGAAAACATTTAAAGGTCCCACTCTGCTTCCACACTGACATGCATATTCAGAATGCAGCGACAGATGCATACATGATTCTGAGATTGATTCTGCCTGACCGACTATGACACCAGATGACGTGCTCTGACGTCAGTTTGCTCATAGGGGCTGTTTCATTTCAGTTTTCGTAAACTAGTCTCCGAGTCTGTAATTGCATAAACATGCGCAGTCCATTCATAAAGAATACTAGTGAAACTAATCCTAATATTTAAAAACAATATCATATTCTTTTTTGTTCATATTTCTTTTTAAATAAGGAGTGATACTAATAATATTGCAGCCAATGAAACAGTTTCACGATCAACTCTATATTCATTATATGTTTCGTGCCAAATATCTGATTGGTTGGTGGTACAATTTTGTTTCACTGCGTTACCCCAATCCGTTTATGTCGTCTCAAAAAAAATAGTACCATTCGGATGAATTAATTAATGCACACGTGACCGTCTTGATTTACAATTAAAGAATTTGATAAATATCGTTTATCTATGACTTTGGAATTCGTATTGGCTTTCTTACTCGATGCGCAGATTGAATTAATATTTTTGTATCACCGTTAAAGAACGTTAGATACGAGGAAATGGGAAGAAAGGCGTGCTGTGGTTGTGCTCAATGTATGGTGCGCGTCGTTTCTTTTTTCTTACGAGAAAACAAGTCAGCCACTGTTTGTCAGACAATTTACGCGTCATTTTAGGCGGGTAAAACGACGTACGTACGTTCTTTGCTAGTAATAATACATTTGTAGAAAAAAGTACGTGACCGTGCGCAGTTGAATACCGTAGCGGCGCGCGAATCTTTGGAAAGAAGGAAGCGATCAGAACGTAAACACTTTTAGTCGAATGAACCAACGGACAAAGACGGTGTGTGAAACGATTGTACGATTTATCAACGAACACGAACGGCAAATAGTGTTATTTTAAGAAAAAGCTGCACGGAAGAACAGGATATACGAAGCGTGTGCATGAACTGGCTGTGACTGAAGTGCGCGCGCGTGTAAACGTGCCATCAGTTTCGTACGGGTGACCGAACGCTAACCATCATTTAGTGTACGTCTGATCTTCCAACAAAAATTTTCCTTGCACGAGAAACCTCGCGAGAAAACATTAACGGTTAACTACGCGCGTGAGAAAATAGCGTACCTATGAGGACCTCAGAGAACCACATAAGGCAACAAGCTTCGAAGGTAGTGGAGAGTTTACTGAAGGGAGGCCTACGCCTACGATGAGCATGCCGACGAAAGGGAAGCATCACCACCTGCCCCATCATCATCAACATCATTCGCAACAGCAACAGCCCCACCACAATCTACCACAGCATCAACCTCAACTTTTAGTGAACGTCAATCAACCGAGTGTCCACTCGCCTCAAGCATATAGCACCGTGGTCACCAGTAATACACCACGCTTTGTGCCAAATGCTGGTGAGTATATGCCATTAATTCCCTATTTTATTAGATTCAACGTTTTCTAAATTACAAGCGTACGTTTTTTTCTATATCTTTTGTATACGTATCCGTTGAGGTCGTTGCTATTAATTACGAGCTTAGACTAAACGGAGGTTATGTTTTGAGGTTAGGACTGCCATGCGGTCCATGTGGCTGTCCATTAAAGAGATTCTGTAAAAATGTCTGGAATAGCATATTTACTTTTCATGTGTTGTTGTATTTCATTATTGATGATTTACCTTAATTTCAACGTGTATTACGTTGGAATATATTTAAGCAAACTTTGAAATAGACTAATTAAAAAGGAAATAATTGTGTATGCATGCGCCAGTATGCAATTATATTTTAGAAACCATGTACAAGATTACAAAATTCATTAACTGATCAACTTAAATTATTTATATACTATTCCGTTACATAGTAGTGTCTTTCTTTAGCTTTCATTGAACAAATTTTGTAATCTCAAAATTTGTAATATTGAGTTAACATTCACAGTATCAATCGTTTACTTATATTTATTTTTTGTACTCGTACATTCACCCAAAAGGGTTAAATTGTCTCAATTTACTACATGTCAATACAATCGACCGCTAAACGTATACAAGAAAACTAACTTAATGGAATTATGGAAGCCATAAAAGAGATATTGTAATTATGCGAGTTCGACTACTGTCCGATATATCCAGTCTACGTGGTTTTTAATATTTTTTCCATATGTTTCCAGTAATTAATTATTCACCAATCTCTCTAATTTTTTTTCCATTTGAATAAACGATAATATAATTAATTTTTATCGATGAATCTAATTTACATACTTTACTTATTATATTTATAACAAAAATGTCATTTTATTGTACTTTGTGAAGAATTCATAAAATATTAATCTACAGTAAAAAAATCAAAATAATTGAACAGGTGAATATATTAGAGGGAAGTTACTTTTCCTTTCTACGTATTTTACTCAAACGCTTGTAATTTGAAGTGTAAGTCGATCTTGGGACGACCTCATTGAAGACACTTGACATTGTTATTAAATCACGTCAGTGTAATCGGCCGACTTCCCGTGTACCAGTTATGTTTTCCTCGAGACTCGTGCTTTCCGAATTGATTTTCTTCTTCCTTTGCCAGACCATTTCGACGAAATCGTTAATTTAAAAAAGAAAGAAATAATTTTCGTCTCATGAAGTCGACGATGAAAATATGCACGATGTAACAGCAACATATATATATAGGAAAACAATTATAGGATGTGGTGGGGGAAGCAATCTGTTGAATCTTATGAGTTTCCTCGTACTAAATTAAGAACCATTTAACGGACAAATTTAAGCAGTGGTAGAATAATAGTTTATATATACATATACATATATGGGTCGTGTGAAAGGATGTATACGAAGAAGTGTTCGAGGAGAAAACAGGGAAAGAAGTCGAGAAAGGAAGAGGGAAGGAGAATAGGATGAAACGAGGCGACATAGCTAACCCGCCGAACGCTGGCGAAAACAACCGAACATCGAGTTCGGCTGCATGTCGCGCGTAGTCTGTGTACATGTGGCAATCAAGCCACACGGTACACACGTTTCTCGCTCTCTTTTTTTTCTTTCTTCTTTGACTTACAGTGAAATTAATCGAACACAATCTTATTGCGAGCATGGAAAAGTCGACGGCAACATCATCGTATCGTGATTAGTATCATTCAAATAACCGTCATCATTATACTTACGGGGTGGTATTTTCAAGGCTGTCTCGTAATCCTGTGCTTCGAAGTATCACGACCAGAGAGAAAGAAGGGAGATCCCTCTCTTTTTATTTGTCACTTTTAAAAACATTTTGACAAGTTTATTCGTATTCATACGAAAACATTTTTGATTTTGTACATCTTGCGCGTTAATTTCCACCGACAGACAAATTGTGTTACCTGTGTACCAAGTCACGAGATTATCTTTAACGAGGAGCATATGGTTGTTAGAACGCGTGTTAAGTGTGTGCGTTTGGGCAACAGAATGTGTTTCACATAATTTGTCGCGTGATGTGTATACCGTACATAAGAATAGAGTGTGGAAAAGTCTTGATTGATACTTGACATCCGTAACGGGCTTTCAAAAGAAGGTGATTTGCCACACGAGTTGGTTAAACGATAGAGTAGTAACAGTCAGCAGCAGTGGTATTGCCGGGCCGCGTGGTTACTAACTCACGTGAAAACATCGTCTTGCCAGTATCATATCGTCTTTGCTGCCTGTGGAGGTTATATAATTTCGACGAGCGGTCTTTTCGTTTACGAAGGACCGAGGAGTGTCCCATTCATTCGAACAGCCGTCACTGTACTTTGAAGTATTCGCGCCACGACGGCGTTACAGATTATCTCCACGGTCATACATTTCCGAGAGACCGTGTGCTATCTCGTATGTTAAGAACGAGAGTGGATAGGATCGCCAGTGGGGCAATCACGCCGCTAAACATGCATCCAATCGTCACGGTTTCTTACCATCACTAACATAACGGTCGTAGGAAATCTTGGACCAGACGTAGAACGGCACACAAGGCGAAAATGTCCACGGTGGTAGGTAAGTTGAATGTCACGTCATGTTCGCGGCAGTCGTACCTTCCGTATGATCAAATGTTTTTAGATCAGTCT